AGTGAAAGGTGATATCCAAAAGGGGGTTCTAGGTTTGAAGGCTGTGTAAGGACCATACTCTAAGTCTGCTAGGACTGTGGGGTGTGTGTGTGTGTGTGTGTGTGTGTGTGTGTTTCTGATCAGAATGATCAGTAGTGGGAACTAGGCACTGTTTGGTTCATTTGGCCTAGGACTAGTAGAAATTGTGGTTTACCTGGTTTGTTAGGCTTAATTTTCTGCACTCTGCTTTGCTCCAGATGGGAAGAAATCAATAATAATGTCTTAAATGTCACTTGTGAGCTTTAAGATCCCAGTTACTCTTCACCAAAGATGTAGAACAGTTGCCTTTATGAATTGTTAATGCCAATTTGGCCTAGGTGCTTCCTGGGACAATGTTCCTAAGCCCTCAAGCCCAATGATTATATCCCTTATTAAGGTATTTGGTTATAGCCAAGAAATTTTCATAACTTTACCCCTTTGTAGTCTGTTATATTCATGGACATGTTTGCAGCAAAAGTAAATACATATATAGCCTCTGCCAAAGCTCGTGATCGTACTTCCATATACCATCCCACACCAGTCCACTTTACATATCTACCTATGTATTCACTCACTCATACATTTCTTAATGTTATTACTGTTGTTTGAGGATTGTGTATGTTGTTGTATTTATGTTGTTGCCTCATACTCTTTCATGCCTCCCAGTGCCTTTCCTTGCCTCGGTCATGTTCTGACTTCTCCCTTATTTTGCATTGCCTTTCTCTTCACTCAAGTAAATACCTGTCTACTTACCTAGCTATTGATTGCTATCCCTCACTCTCCCATCCTGGGTAACAATCAAAGACTGTTTCTGTGTATAAACTTTTTTGACTTGTAAATTATGGTAGCTTCATACAATATTTGTCCTTTTGTGATTCACTTATTTCATTCAGCTTAATAGTCTCCAGGTTTATCCATCTTATGAATAACTGTTATTCTTTAGTGTTATGTAGTATTCCATTGTGACACTCCATAGTTTGCTTATCCATTCTTTCAGTGATGGGCATTTAGGTTGTAGCATAATTACTTTTTGTCCTTATTAGTTTTTGTATAAACTTTGAAGCCAGGGTTGTTTTGTTGTCTGTGTGTTTCTGTGGCTCGTGTTCGCTTATTTTGATTCAAAAAATATTTTGTGAACTGCAGTGGGTAGCCCCTTATCTAAGTTTGTTACATTACATTTTTTTCTTACACAGTGCTGTCATTGTGGGTCCTGCCCCCACCCCCT